GTGACAGCCGTCCGCAGCGTGTCCTTAAAACCCGCTATCTGGGGTCTATGCCGATGTAATTAACACTCAACTCTGGGATGACCTATCAGGAAAAGCATACGCATCATTCAATCGACATCACCTATGAGATGGAACAAGCCTTCCGATCCCCCAAACCCATCTACGTTGTATCATCTCAATCTTGATCTACAGAATCTACATGGTAAAAACATGTAAAACCCACATTGTTAGAGTCAAGCCCCTTCAGGTCACATGCATCAAACATGGTTCCACACTGGCAGGTCCCCAGGTCCCGGCTGTAGCCGTCGGCCCAGTGACGCTGCCAGGGCTTGGTCGCTCTCGTCATGCTGCGCGAAGGCGTGGCCATAGGCCACCCAGGCGGGTGCGAAGCGACCGTCGAAGCGGAGCGCCTTGGTGAGACACGGTGGGACATGTCGAGCCTTCATCGCACAGGATCTATCAGGATCTGAAGTGAGGACTAAAGTGGAGTTTCATTGAGTTATGTGAATTTTCTATAGTCTTGTGGAGGTCTGTCACTGTCTGATAGTCCTTCACCTGTGTTGACTAGTTATCCGTGACTTCAATCCCACAAAACGGGTGGTCATCCGGGTGGCGAAGGGTGTGAATATTGTTTTTGAATGTTTTTGAATGGTAAACACTGTATGACGCAAGTGTCTTTGTCTATATTTGTCTCTCTTTGGGTCTCGAAATGGGCCCCAAAGAAGGAAGTCCGGTCAGACTCGTTTCTGCTTTTGTTGTCGGAAAACCAAGATCCTGGTCCTTTCTTGTGCAAAACTCATGTAAACCCAGGCTGGATGTTTAACGTTTAAGGAGAGGGCGAACGATTACCCACAAAAAATCCATAGGACAGGACCGATTGCTAAGAAACGCCTTTAATATCCTTTATTATATGATATGTTTATATTCATAGCCGTTCCAAAAAGAACGGAAGCATTTAACGCATTTAATTTAAATGTAATCACAACTGGTGGGTGGTGAAAACACGGTCCAGCACCCCAAACCGAACCCGGTAATTCAGCCCAGGCCGCCTTGTGAAAGAAACGCCGAGCATGCTCGTACCTGGGCTGAGAGAGGAAAGGGGGAAGAAAAACAGGTGTACAACTATGGAACACGGAAGGGACATGAAACAAACATCTCCTCTGAACTCTCTAGCAGCATCTATTGGCCAAAAGAAACCTCCTGAGATCTCCTGCGTATGCGTGCGGCTGAATCTTACTTGCCTCATGGAGCCTGTTAAAAGTGATGGTGGGCTGTGTTGTGACAAAAAAAACGGAACTTCTACGTCACGGGCAGAAATCTCAAACTCGTCAAGCAACTTCTTGATCATGTAGTAGTAGCAACCTGCTGAAGATGAATTGCACATTGTGACATGCAATTGTGCACCTCATTCCATGCGTGTCGGTGGCATAAAGAATGAGATTTATGATTTATGCCCTCTTCTCGTCTAAGAAAGGAGGTCACCCGGCATCGAATCCACGGATCAGTTTTATGTGGCTAAACATGTTAAACCACTAAAATACTTGAAGCATGCTACACCAGCACCAAAGCTCTGGCTGCTTTTTGGAGCACCTTTCAAACCTTGACCTGTCACCAGCGTCCATCCTACACTACGTAAACCACGACTTAGCCTCTCCATTGAACACCCGAACAGGAATCAGTTCTCCTCACAACAGGTGTCCGAAAGCCCAACTTGTTCAGTCAATAGCAGCCCATGATAACAAGGACAATGCAACATGACTCTAACTCCTTTGCAGGAGATATATATAATTCTCTCCGACACCCTCCGCATAATCTCCGCATCTCTCATTAATTGCCTCCCCAACTCCAAACAGCATGTACCACAAACCTATAGCCACAAATAAGGACTGCATTCTTGTCTGCCAATCCTGGAAGGCAAGCCTGCTGTGAACCATGCAATGGCCGTCGATGGGTATGCGTTCATCAACTGATGGGCCACATAGAAAACAACCTCAGTTGGTCTGGATGCTTTCCATGCACGCATTGTGTGTCTTGCCTTTGGATGCTTTTCATGCAACCTCTCCCTACTTTACTTCCAGGCGCCAGGAACGCGCCGCGTCTTGGGATGGACACAAACTCTATCACACTGTGGCCAACCGTTGTGGCCTGGATGAATTCCTGGCGTGCAAAGTCTCGCCTTTTTAGGTTCCGGCTTCGGTATTCTGTACCTTCACCAACCGGGGGGCTCTGGGGCACTACGAACGGCCATGTCAAGCTCAGAGGCATTAGTCATGTTGAGCATCACCAGCGAAGAGATGTGAACCTCGCAGCTGAAAAACACCAAGCCTTCCAAGCTGCAGAAAAGAAACCAACGAAGTGGCAAGTGCTTTGCAAGATATGCAGGTGTTTGTCCGAAACATTGGCTGATTGAGTTTAAGTGTCCATGTTGGGCTTTAATGGCAGTTTGCACCAAGAACATTCAAAACAACAAAAACCTCGCCCAGCGTCTGGCAGGGCCGCCAAGTGGTAGGGATCCTCTTCCAGCACACGCTTGGAGATCATCAAGCACGACTCGTAGTCTCCCTGCAGGAGAGGATGGAGAGAAAACAAATGCATCGCGGAAGACGACGTAAGACATCCAACGCTTTCAAACCAGTAAGACTCGTGCATCGCTGCATCGCGAAAAACGTAGCGCAGCAAGAAGCTACTAGTAACAAGGACGTTAATGCTCAATTAGCAATAGTAAACCCCCCCTCCGCCCCTATTAAAAGAAATATATTTCTTTTTTTTCGGGGTAGGTCAAAACTCTCAACCTCAATAGATAACCTCCAGGCCATTTGGCAGAGGGGATGTGGAATATGAATTGAAAGTAATTCAAAACTCAATTTCCCCAATTGGATTCCCCAATTGGAGGGTGTTTATTATTGTAGGTTGGTTTATAATTGCAGGGGGTAGGAGTCTAAAGGGGTACCCTTTGAACATATGTGTATTTGTTTGATAGGGTTTGCATAAGGAAATCTAAAGCTTTTGGCTAGCCAAAGTTTTTTAGAAATCTGATTGGCAAAAATCAAAAAGAAAGATCCCACAAAAGAAGAAGAATAAGAATAAAATAGGATAAATTATGATAAATTAACAGTAAAAGGGCAAATTTGGGATCTGACCAGAAAAAGCTTATTACTATTGTCTAATGTGTATGATTGACTCTTCAATTTGTTTTATAGATTTTGGGGTCTGGATGTTGACGCAATTAAAAGTAGTATTCAAAATTCTGGCAGGCCAAAAAAGCTTAGTTATTATTGAATCATTGTCTATTACTGCTAATTCAACATTACTACTAGTAACAAGAAGCTACTAGGAAATAGTTCATATCACGTATTTCAAGAAAATTCAAGATTCATATGTGGGGCATTTCAAGGATTCCTGACAGAATGGACAAATTGCTGCACATTGCGGCAAACCACTTTGCTGAATCTCAGGTTGCCCATATAGATCCATATATATAGTATCATATAGTCATAGTCCTAAGTCCTAAGGTATGAAGACTCAAGTCGCTTCCAACGTGTTCAAACGAACCACGAACAGTCTAGGCACACCAGTTGCAAGGAGAAGGTTTTTCTCCCGGGCATAAAGAAGATACGCGAGTTGGCCGTTGGATTGGACTGGCTTGCATGAACATAACAAAGTGCAATTAAAGTACAGTGAAGGCAAACCTACTGTCATACATAAGCCTAGAAGCCTATAGGTAGTGTGGGGTAGTCCAGCCAGGACACCCCTTGGATGGTCCTGGTACTGTCACACACAATTGAACATAGTTGAACCACGAAGGTTGTTGAATGAATGAAACCTGTCCGTGGATCAGCTGACCCTAACGAAAGGATCTCCTTTTTCGGCAGTGGTTCAGTCTAAGGGGTGAACTTCATGACAAAAGAACGTCCTGTTCTTGTTCTTGTAAGTGCCAATGTTCTTCTTCTTTCTTCGTCCTGGTCTGTCTGCTGCAATTGTAGTCGTAATATATCGTAATGATTGGTCTGTTCCTTGGCATGCCGAGTGGCATTCCAACAACCTTCAAACGCCCAGTTGACCAACAAGGCAGACCCTCCGACCACCCTTTTCTCCATGTCCACTCGCACCACCATGACACCCCACGGCCACGTCTGGGTCCGGGGAAAAAAGAGGACCTGATCACACATCAAGGACATCAAAGAGTGCAAAACTCATCTTCCTGAACTGGACCTTGGACTTGAGGCCGGGGTTCGTCAGTCCAGTCTGACCGGGACTTGAAATGGTTGAGTTCGGAGGAGGTAAGGTCATGGTGAATCACCCTTCAGGATCCTTTGTTTGGGCGAAGGCTGGGCACACATAGCTTCAGTCAGCACAAAGCTGAAGCTCAAACCATGGAGATGAATCTCCCTCATAAATGGACAAGTGTTCAAGGACTTGTTCTTCTGCTAAATGGCAGCAACTCGATTGTGGAGCAGGTGACTCTTGTTGCCGCCCGCTTCGGCGCCCCAAAACATGCACCGCATGCGCGAATGTGGGGAACCTCTGCGGCCGCCTCACACTGTTGCTCATGCAGGTGATCTCCTGCAAGCATGGATTGGAACTTTCGGCCACTTGGAAGCCGCTGGGCAGGCTTTTGTAAGGGTTGGTTGAAAAAGTAGATCTCAGAATCAGTTCTGTTAGTTCTGCAATGTTCTGTGCGTGTTTGCCATCACCCAAAGGAATATGACCCTATCGGAGCATCTACTCGTGGATAACTTCCACCAAGTTCTTAGCCCCGATGGGAACCATTCAGGGCCACTCTCTACTCCAACACTGCTCAGGGGCGTCATTCCCTGGCTGAAAACAGGCGCCTCGTGCTAAATCCTAAATGCTATATTACACGAATGGATTGGACTTGAGCTTTCACATTAGTATAGATCAACATGGAGAAAACAAGCATCTCGAAATCTCTCTTAATTATATGCTTGCCCTTGCTGTTATGCCAGTCACACCTACGTACCCAAATTCCTCAGTTGGAGCCTGCACCTTTTTTCCGAATGTGCGCAGCTCGGCTCGGAGTTGGCTCGAGTCTGAAGTGTGCAAGAAATCCCCAGCGCGCGCTCAGCTGATACCTCAACTCTGGCTCAGGTGTCGAACGTTTGATGATCCCTTCCCCCAAACCGAAGTCGCCCCAAGCACTTCCGAAAGGTGCTGCTGGCCAAAAGCTTCAACCAAAGGCGCCTCCACTCCTTCTTTCACTCGGAATCGATAAACATAATGTCTCTCTCTCTCTCGTTGGGAAGGCCTTTCCCCATGAACCTTGCAGTTCCATGCGGCCCTGAACCATCCAGTTCCTCATATGAAAGAGTTCATTTGGTCCTGATGATTGACCTCCCAGGAACGATAAAGACTGAACACACAAACACTCCAGCTTTCAACTAATTATATAGGTTGGCCATCACAGGCTCTTGATTCATTGCCCCTGCATGGGTTGAGTCTGTTCCCGATGGTCAGTCTGTTCAAGTACACATATGTTCAACATCTCTTCATTCAATCCTCAAACCACCTCCAACCCCACCCGACAGCCATGACACAGTTGCGAGTTTCCGCTGGAGAGACTCCTGCGGTCAACGGAGCGTCTGTTCAGCAGTCACATCTTTTGGGGGTGACATGGCTTTCTGGGGGTCCACGTTCAGGGTTTTGGGTATCGACAACGATGGATTAAGAATCGAGAGAAATCGGGCATTTGGACTGTGGATGTGTTTTTTTGTTTGCACCATTCCACTGTGCTGTCTACAACTGCAGGGTAACAAGCACAAATGTCTGTGGGAACGGGTCAGCAGGGGAGATGGGGTCTATGGCGTCCTGTTCTCGAGCCAGCAAGGAACGTTGAACACGTGCAGGAACTATCAAAGCAGAACACCGTGGACCCTTGATATGAGCCCTGAGCTATACCCTCTGGTGTGCCACACATATATATATATATACATACACATACACACACTGCACACACACAGATCTCTCTCTCTCTCTATATATATACATATACAGTATGTACACTATACCATATACATCTACCCAAGGCACATCATGATGTGCCCTGTGTCAATTCTGCGATTGTTCCCGTCAATCTCTGGCCCAGTTCAACAGCATTCAGATTATGTTTCACTTCTTGCGTCCGGCTTTCTTGTCGTGAATTCAGAGTCTGATGAGTCCTCCAAAGCCGCCTGGTTTGCTCTTACCACGCAACCCCAAATCAAGAACCATGAAAAATGGCCACCTGTTTGTCATCGCAGAGTTGAACTTTCTATCTCTGATAGAAGCCGGACTGGGTTGCATCACCCCACAGAAACTTCAACATCGTCCAAAACTATGCCTTCGCAGTTGTTAAGACGATTGTGCGGAAATCAGGTGCGAAGCCAAAGATTTACAATCCCCTTGCCAATGATTGCCTTACTTCATCTTACTTCCACTAGTTGCCTGGCAGGATTCTTCACAAACCAAGTCTTCCATCTTTCAATTGCACCACACTGCCCTCCCTCCAACCTGTCCCACCCCTGTCCCGGCCCTCAGGTGTCCCGGCCTCAATGAACTGATGTCCTGTCTCAACCGACCTGGAGAGATGCATCTTGCTCATCGACGCATCTCGCTCCGCAGTTGGATCTTCGCTCCGCAGTTCTTCGAATCGTCTCAACTCACCAGCTCTTCATACCATGCGCCAAGGATGAGAATCTTTCTTGAATAGCTGTCCCTCCAACAATCATGCTGGGCGAACGATTGTCCTCTACAAACAGGCGGTTGTCCACTTCCATGCTTGTTGGAGGGAGGGTAAACTGCCCTTAATCCCACCAAAGAACGAGCAGAACCCGTCCCGTAACACTCCATGGGACTGGTACAATCATGCGTACACTGCCCGGAACAAACATGGAAGTGGAAAAGGGCCCCTCGGACGACCATGATGACCATGTTCCTCTACTAACTGGGGGGGCTTTCCACTTGCATATTAGTTTCAGGGAGGGTATACATTCCAAATGTGACGCTGGGCCTGATCCAAACGCGCGCTTGTCGCGGGGACAAAAACATCCACAACATGTAACAATGTAACATGTATGGAATTGTATGTGTATATATATATATACATCAATGTTGGGGTGGCCACTATGCCAGTACAATACCTTGGTCCTATGTTGGGGTGGTTGACCCGGGATGAATGGGGTGGTCACTGGCTGCCAGTCCCGATGGTGGTCGCTCATCAGGCTCGCCTTGGTCTGGTTCTTCACTGCTTCGGCGGCCGCCCGGATCTTCTCCTCAGGCGAGGTGGGAGCGTTTTGGTCCGGTGATGGGGAAGATTGAGTGCTTTGCAGCATCAGCGATTCCAGTCTTCTTCTGTCTTGGGGAGTTCGATGGTCATGGACAGCCGCCCATGGTTGAAAACCACTGACAAGAATCAAAGCCCTCCAGAAACTGGACCTTGACAACTTTCCGACAAAGCAGTAGAGAATTGGCCGGCAAATGAATTATGGATGGTCAGGATGTGTCAGGATCTGGGCCACCACCCAGGCATGGCGGCTAGGATGCTCAGGTGAGTCTGTAGGATCTTCATGGGAGACCCCTTGGAAGGTCCAGATATGTTTGCCCAAAAGACCTGCAAAACGTAAATTCTGGAAGAACTTAGGTAAAGAACAATAGCTTTCAAACCCTTGACCTGCCGGCGAACCCACCTTGACGCCAAAGACCCCGGTGTCCAGCTGTGTCTCCAACGGAATGTCCGCCAATCGGAACATAGAAAACGCACATAGGCTAGGAACTTTCACTCAACTTTCCCCCTCGTCTCTCTCGTCCAATGTTTTTGTGCCGTACTGAGAAACTGTGACTCCGCCGATGCTCTTGACGCCCCTTCCGCTCCACTTCGACTCCCCTCCCGGTGCGGTACGAAGGGGCTGCGTCGCCCAAATAGCGCCCGAACTTCAAGGGCTCCACAGCCAGGCTGGTCGGCAAGGGTTTCAAGTCCTGGCCATTTGGATTGGCAAGAACAACAAGTGTACACACAAGCAAGGAGCTTCATGGATGAATGAAGTGTATCCCTCAGTTGTTGGTGATGGTCTTGTCACGTGTAAAAGTGCGGAAGCTGTTCATGCATACTTCATTATAAGCTTGTGGGTGGGTCTAAAATGTTTGGCCCACCTCACTGCTCGCTATTTTAGCAGTAGATGCCAGTTGAGGATGTCACGCCTACTCTGGAAGACGACCCCAATTGACATCATTTGACCGGTGCGGACAATGTCACGTCATGGCTGGTTGGGAAAATGAGGACTTCCTCTGCGCTCGGGTGCGACATATCAACTTCCATACTCCTTTGGTCGGGAGATCCTCTATATTTTGTGAACCCACTAAACATGGGGCACAAAGCCATGGCTCGACCATCGAGTGGTCAACAAGTAAGAATGATGAGGTCCCAGCACCGCCAGTAGCAGGTAGGTTCATCTTTAAAGACGGTTGAATGAGGGTCCTGACTTGGTAGGTATCATTGTCGTGAGGTTAGACCTCATGAAATGGAATACGAGGAAGAGAGAAAACAAAATCCAGCCAATCAGAGGTGCACTGCGGGTGGCGGAGCTTAATTAAGGGGTGGATGTTGGGGCTTTTCAGCAGCCAAACCAGCTGTGCCAGCTGAACCCACGCTAGGAAGGTCATTTCAAGGGAACCCACGCTATCAAACAAGAACTTAGTTTATAGCGACATATACCACAACACGTAAAGTTCCAAGTGGCCAAACCTTCCGAAAAACAACTAAGTTCTCAACACTCGATGGTTGCATGTCTGTTGAGGGGCTTCCTTGGTTGTAGCCCCTGTAGAACAATCAAACAATAGAAAACTAAAAACAACGAACTCACATGAGGGAGACTCATGAGCTGCCTTGGTTGTAAATGCTGAGCCTTCAGAGAACTCCACCTTATGAGTTGAGTGCCTTTCTTCAAGAGCTGGCTTTGCGATGCGAAGCAATGAGGTTCAAAAGGGCTCAACACCTTTTGGGAGCTAAGTAAGGTAAGGGACCCTTGCATCTCCTTAAGCAAAAAGCATTGCATGATGTTGCATGGGGAGTCATTATGTTGAGGAAATTATTAATTCACTGTAACACCCTCTGTCGCTACCCCGCCCTGAGTCGATAGCCTCCTTGTCACCGGCCTCTCCTTGTCAAGCTCGTAGACCAAGGGTGTCCCTGTCGGGATCTCCAATCCCGGGATCACGTCGTCAGAGAGACCTTCGATCCTGAGGATGTCAAGCTCGAACCGACAAATGTCAAATGTACTGTACAACCCATGCTTCGAAGCAACCCATGCAAAACTCCGGCCGAGGAAAAAAACACTGATCTCAGGCCCAGGGATCATCTTCACGATGGCGCGGATGGAGTTCCCGTGTGCGGCCACGAAAACGGTCTTTCCTGCTTTCAGTGCAGGGGCAATGGTCTCCTCCCAGTAGGGCATCACCTGCAGGGCGAACGCGGCGAACGGGCCAGCCTTCAGGCGGGCGGACGTGTTCCCACATTGTTTCTTAGCCTAGCTTAGCCTTATAGGGACTAACGTGTATGTCATGGGCATAGGGTCGGCGGGTTTCTAAGATTCTGAACGAGCAACGCTCAACTAATTGTGTGCATTTGCAATTGCAAAAGCATTTGTTGAGACTCTTGCGCTTACTGTTCAACACTAATGCTGTAATGATCAACATCTAAGGCTCAAAAATATCACATGCTCATGTAAACATATTTTGCATAGCCGGTGATGAACCATCCTCCACAACCCCGTCTCTTTTTTGTGATTGAAGTGCTGCAAAGCCATCCTCAAGGTTAGTGAAGTCCTTTCCAAGGTCAACTACAACATTTGCTCACCAATGGCTCTTGCAACATATGCATGACCACGAGCTCAAACCCTTCCCAGAAGGACACGGACGCCCAAATCTGCATGCCAACATGTTCACCCCATGAAACTGACAGGTTTGCTCATCTCAGCCCCTCCACTTTCTCCGGGCCACACGTGCGATGGTGTCCTTCAAACACTCGGTGTCTGGCAGGTCCTGGCGTGAACCACGCGGGGACCAAACAACGTTGGAGCTTCCGAACGACGCGGCAACTCAGCTTAGAGTCCCACTGACGGTGGGGCAGGGATCTGGAAAAAGTCCTGAGAAATCCTGAGAAACATGGACTTCCCCTGAATCATGTACGTGATGTGTGGCATCTTCCGGATCATGGAAGGACCCACGGTTAACCATGGGTTAAAGAGGGGAACGCACAAGCCTAGTCTGTGCAACACACTGAGAGGCCGACACCTTTGGGAACACCCAGTGGTCTCAGAGTCGTTCAGTAGGAACAACTATATAAATACATCTGAAACAATCAAGTCCTTTATAACGGTCGTTGGAAGTGGAATGAAGCGGACACATTTAGGTCTCTCTGCCAGTGTCATCTAGCAATATGTTTGCATTTGCCATCTCACTGCCAGGCTGCGAGGATGGGGGTCTCCTAGTTTTGACAAGGCTGCCATGGCAAAGAGCCCTTTTCCTCCAATATTGCCATGCGCACTAGCAAGCGTGGTCTCATTCATGACGACCCCGCAACCCAACATCACCACATTTCACATTTAGGTGACAAAGGAACACCACAATACATACCAAATCGTACCAATGCCTTTTACCTGTGGATATCTGTGGATAACAAAGCTCTAGCGAGCTTTGGAGCAGTTGTCCACAAGCAAAAAAAGCAAACAACACAAGCGCCACACACAGTCGCGCGCAGTCTTGCAACATTTCGCAAGCTGTTTCCTGCAAATTTGCTTCAATATGCCCTGGCCAAGAAACCCCATCAAACTGGACATGGGTGCTGCATGATCGCCACACAACCGCCCTACCTCCATCCTTCGATTCCGAGGCTCCTGGCCATTCAGCTCTGAGCTTCTGTCCCCAAACATGTTCCTCTTGAACCCCCCGGTCCCCTTCGCTTGCTCGAGAGCGTCTGAGGTGAAGACCCGCGGTATTTCCCTTCAAATTTGGACCAACCCGGCGATCTCAACGGGGGGTCCCAACCCTGCCGTCGCCTTTGGATCCAGGTCTGCATACTTGGCTTCGTGGCATGGGTGGTACTTGTTCTCCTGGGCGCTGCAGGCTCGAAGTGTCTCCATGAAACGGAGAGTTCACACACGTCAAGACTACGTCTCTCATCTTCTCTCCAGACGTACATGTCTTGTATTCTCCAGTGCTCAAACAAAGAACATAGGATGTCACGATGTCTAAGAATTCTTGACCCCCATCCCTCACTGCCTTTCTCGGGCCCCGCATGATGCGCCTTTGTCTTGCCCAACTACAGGTCTGTTCAGGAATTATGAGAAGTTGTGTCTTTTAAATCCTTTTCATCAGGAAAACGCCTAAGCCTATCCCTCTCTCTCTCTCTCAACACATCTATTATATGATCATTGTGAGCTATGAGGTTGCTGTAACTGACTTGTGTGAGCTTGCCGTGTCAATCTTCGGTTCCTCACTTTCTGATTTCTTGCCCCGAGCAAAACGAAGGCCCTGCCCCCCGATGAATCCTCATATTCCAATGGGCTACATGTAGTCTGTAGTCTTTGGATGTCTTTGGGTGGTTGGGGCACGCCGCCTCAGGGAGAAACCTCCAGCAACTCCCTCCTTCTCCAGGGCGGGTGGAGGAATGTCGAAGCTCCGACGCCAGATCTGCACCTGGAGAGGACCTCTCTCTTCTGGAGGTCTGTGCTCATGGAAACACCGTGAAGAATAAAGGCGCCGGGGGTGAAAATGCGGTGGTTCTGGGATTTCAAGGGAATGCTTCACCAACCCCGCTTTTTTTCCAGCACGGCAAAGTGCATGATCAGGTGTGGCACCTTCCTAGACGTGAAATGGCTTGGTTGAGCCGCTCATGACAGAACCCTGGTGACCATACTTTCTCCAACTGTCAGGATCGAAAGGGGTCGGTAGGGTTCTGCCCAGCGCGGTCATCAGTGCCAATGCCCCCCACCTGATCTGCTCCATGCTTCTTGACCTTGGGATGAAGGCACTCGAAAGGCTGCCCCGTGTGACAGGGGCGCCTTCAGGAAGCTCCATGGCTAAATGATGATAAGAATAAACTCAACCCATTGGTCCGGGAACTCAAGGGTAGAAATCTTGATGTGCTGGAAGGTTGGTGCAGGTCACTGTAAGGTCACTGTAGGTCCTTGCCATTCGATGCACATTAGGTCCTTGCCCCGGTAAGCATCGCCAACATTGCTTGAGGAGCAAAGCCCTCTGACCGGTGATGATTGGAGTTCTGTGGCTTGACTCCTCCTGACCGGTCTCGATCCACGTCCCAAGCGGTTTTGCCAGGCGTTTCCATCAACATGGACCTGACGTAACTAGTGAACGAGTATAGTTTCAATCGATTGGCAGAAATTCTAACAGGTGTTCCAAAACAAGGCTCCCATCACAAGAAAAGGAAGTTCCTGCCATCTACTCCACAACTCATGTAGGCCGGCTGAGGCCAACACAGTCTCCTTCTTGTCCAAACCTAGCCAACGCGCTGCTTGAAATGTAGGTTGCTGTCGGAGGTGAGCCAATCCCAGGTGTTTCTGGAGTTTGGAGGCAGCTCGTTCACAACCCAAACAGTTCAACCCTTAAAAGAACAGGCCAGTGACCTGAGTCAATGGCACGACTTGGGTGTTGATTCATTGAGACCCCAGCAGGTCCTGACTTGCGGGGAGCGAGTGGTTTCGACTCAGGTCACCAAAGTGGCTTCGCCCAAGCCGAACCCCACCGGGGCGGCACATCGGGGATCCAGTTGGTGCCGACCAGTCATTTCTCTTGAGATATCCATTTTCCAGCTAACAATTCACTTGTTCCACTTCAAGCAACTCTGCCGAAAAACGAGTATCCTGAAGAGGACAGTCCCCTTATCAATTATTTACATCGGTTTCAAGAGTAGATGGCACAACCCCCCTAATTACATGTCTTTTAGATGCCGGTCCACATAAACCACCTTTTGGGGATTGTGCCGTCTACTCTCCATCCACTCTAGTTCCAACATCTTGCTTCCGACCACCTGCCAAACCACCGCACCTGTCAAACCACCGTACATGCGCTCGTTCAGTCGCCAGGTCTTGTTCACTGGCACATAGTACTGATCTGCAGCCTGTCAGGATGCGTGGCAAGCCTTGTAAGATATGCATTCGGAAGATGGTCCACTGCCAGTAGATGCGGCATGTTTTAAAATATGTTGCAATAAGTATATAATTCGGTATTAGATGAACTACATGTTTAGCTGCAAGCAGGGCTGAATCAGGTGGATCACTGGAAAACAAGAGCTCCAAACATAGGTTCTTCTGAAATGACATGATTCAAATAATTTCACCTATCAAAACCTTAATGTGCAGTTTGAAGAATCTCTTGGCGTCAACAGCATCACATACCATCACCGGCCACCCTCTTTCCGGTTCGCCTCTAAGGCCAGGTTGCAGGTCTTGATGGCTCCTCTTTCAGCGAAACCGCCACGAGCGAAAAGGCTGAGTTTCAGCGCAAACTCATTCAAACCGAGAAGCAGCTTTTCGTGCAGCTTTTGAGGGCATCTTGTTGTGACCCAAAGGTTTCTGGAACTGAAGAATTCCAGAGCCCCCCCAAAAAGATAGAAAAAGGCACTGCGATGTGCAAGAAATGATGCACTTCAGGCGATACGGGACTTGTCCGTGATTTATTCCATCAATGGCAAAGGCGTTCCCACTTATAGGGAATCACACTTTGATGGTATCCCGCCTCTGGCACAAAATTCTGGAAATTTGGTACCACTAGGCCTCCACCGGAGACCTATGTTTTGGGTGTGGATGCCATCAAAGTGTGCTAGGGGTTTAAGTTTATGTGTTGTGTCTCTGCCTTTTGAAGGACGTCGTTTTTTTTTCGAACATCTTACTAGATGCCATCTATTTGTTCCAGGATC